AAATTTTTTTTTTTTTTGCAGAACCGGGGATTGAACTCAGGCCCTTGCACTTGCCAGGCAAGCACTTATTCTACTGAGCCATCTCCCCAGCTCCTCACTGTATTAATTTTTTTTTTTTTTTTTTTGGCAGAACCGGGGATTGAACTCAGGTCCCTGTGCTTGCCAGGGAAGCAGCCATTCCACTGAGCCATCTCCCCGGCCCCACTGTATTAATTTTAAAGACCTAAAAATTAATACCTTGATATAATTTTGGGAAATTGCCCTTCTTACCTTACTGGTAAAGCAGCTTTTTCTTGAACTCTTCCCAGTATAAGTCCTTCATAAGGCTTTTTGTGTGGAGAATCTAAAGGGAACACAAACTCTCCCGTATTGGCAATCTGGTAGGGAAGAGTTGACAATCATTATACAGTTTCCATCCCCTACAAAAAGAAATGATTAAAACTCCAGGCTAGCTTTGTCCAATAAAAACAGTATTACCCACAATGGGAGCTACATCTCTATTTTTTTTTTTTCATATATTTTTAGTACAGGGACTATAGGGTCTCACTATGAGATCAAACTCATAGTGATCCTCCTGTTTTCAGCCTCCCAAGCACTGGAATTACAGGCACACGTGACCACATCTAGTCTCAGTCAAATGTCAGCATGACCTGGAGGTGAGGCTGGCACGGCAAGCCAGGGATCGAACCCCAGTTACTGTACCTGCCTCAGCAGGCACTTTAGTCCTCTGAGCTATTTGGTAGCCCAATTTTCAAATCTTCTAGTATTAATATTTTTCAAAAATACTAATACTAAAAATGGCAGGCATGGAGGCACATAACTATAATCCTTGCACTCAAGAGGGTGAAGCAAGAGGACCCCAAGTTCAAGACTAACCTAGGCTACTCATTTAGTTTAAGACCAGTCTGGACTATAGCAAGACCATCCTTCAAAAAAAGAAAGAAAAGTAAATAAAAAAGTAAAAAATTCAGTGAGATTAACTGTAAATACTTAAAATATTACTTCAAAGTATAATCAATTGCAAGAAGTTATTGAGACATGTTTTATACCTAACAGCACATCTCCGTTTGGAGTAGCCACATTTCAAGCACTGAAGAACCACAGGTGGTAGTGAAAACCATTTTACACAATGCAGTTATAAGGCTTTAAAAAATACATCTGATACATTTTTAAATACAATTTTATTATCATCTTACACAAAATTTTCTTTTTATTAAAATTTATTCCTAAAAACAATGTCATCCTTAGTTCATTTAATAACTCATCCACATAATACTTACTGATTACTAGTGACACGACTAAATAAATCAAAATAAAGCTTTTCTTTAGTTGTAAGAAACAACTAAAACTAATAAGGAAAGAAGCAGAGTGGTCAATAAAATAGACAATACCTGGTCCAGAGACTGGGCACTGTAAAATCAGAAATTCAATTTTATCACTTCATCCTGTGATGACCAGATTCCTCAAAACTCTTTTAAGCTAATCAAACTCAAAAATGTAATTCTTGAAAACTATATAAATCCATTCATTTACAATGGAGATACATACTTTCATTGTCAGGCTATTCATATCAATTATCTACGGAATGCTTAATTCTATTTCAAGTTAACTAAACAACTAAGTCCATAATCAGAAAGTCCTTTTATCTCCTCTAAGGCAAATCAGGGTAGAGCACTTATACTAATACTGTAAATACTGGCAAATTCTTACCATTTGGATAGCCTTTATATTCAATGAAGATTACACACTTAGGTACATGTAATTATAAATGTTTCAGATAACATGGTATATTTTTTTACTTTTTATTTTATTATTTTTATTTTTTTCCATAATTTTATTGAGAAACAAATAGCAATGAGACAGTTTCAAATTAAATCGGTAAAAGTTTCAATAATTCACACATTGCATACATTCATCCTAGTGGTTAATTGCTGTACAAGATGTGGACATGATATCCTATTTACAAACACCATTAGAACAAATCC